GGAGATTGCTCAGGGCTGAGTGCCTTGTAGGTAACAAGCATTCAATATTTGGAATTGTCTCATTGGATACACAGAAATGTCTATTTCTACATATTTTAAAGAAGAGATAATTTAGACTTGGAGAGGGAAGGAGCAGGAAAACTGACATTTCAGAAAGTATTTTCTTGCAAGTAAGGCTTCTGAACTGCTCCAGCCTTCAGCATCCTTCTCTACATAGTGAGGGAGAGAGTTGGACTAAGTGCTCTTTGGAGCCCTTCTAGGCTTAACAGTCAGTGAATATACAAGGCCAGGGTGTGGGTTTCTGAAACCACGGTTTTGATCACTTGGGGTTCTTTCAGCATGGGCTTTATGCACGCTGGGTTTCAGTGAGTGGAGGTTGCTGGGTGTGCCTTCCAGGCACTGTACTTTGAACAACATGGGTTTAAATTTCGAGCGTCCACTTATCCATAGATTTTTTTTCCCACTAAATAAGCACTACAGTGCTACTTGATCCTAGGTTGGTTCAATCCGCGGGTTCAGAACCATGGATATGGAGGGCCAACTATAAAGTTATACATGGATTTTTCGGCTGTCCAGAGGGTCAGTGCCCCTAACCCCTGCTGTTGTTCAAGGGTCAACTATATAAATAAAGGTCAGGGGGAGGGGGAGGGAGCATGAATTGGATGTGTGTGCAATGCGATTTTAAGCAGGGAAATTTAGGAAGGTGTGTTGAGAAGGTGACACTTTAGCAAAGATTTGGAGGATGGTAGGGTGCTAGTCATGAAGATATTGGGGGGAACTTTCCAGGAACAGGGGAAAAGCCCTAAGTGGGTTCCTGGTGAGTATGAGGAAGGGCAGGAAGGCCAGCATGGCTCGAGAGAGGAGATTGAGGCGAGCACAGAAGGAAATGAAGTCAGGGGAATGCTGGAGACAAAACTGTGAGGGCCTCATGGGACCTTGACCCCAACAGAAACAGGAGCCATTGCTGGGCTTTGAGCAGGGGACAGACATGAGCTGAAGTGTCTGAACAGGATCACTTTGGCTGCAGTTCAGGGAGCAGACCGAATGCGGGCAAGGGAGGAAGCGGGGAGGTTAGGAGGTGATTGCAGTGATTTAGGACAGAGAGGATGGTGGGCTGGACCCAGCAGGTAGCAGCAGAGGTCATAAGATATAGTTTGATTCTGGATATATTTTGAAGGTAGGGCAGGTAATATTCCCTTGCAGAATGGATGTGCAGTGAAAGAAAAAGAGAAGAGTCCAAAAGACTCCAGAATTTTTGGTCTGAGCAATGGGGAGGTTGGAGGATGGAGCTGCCATGAAATAATGGGGAAGTCTAGAGTTGACGCAGGTTTGGAAGGGAAGATAGGAGGTCTGCTCCAGACAGGTTGCGCTTCAGATGTCTGCTAGACACCCAAGTGGAGCTTCAGAGTAAGGCAGCTGGCTCTAGCAGCCTGAAGTTAGGGAGATGTCTGCGCTAAAGACAGATCAGGAATTATCAGCGTGTAGATGGCGCACCATCTCCAGAGTCATAGAACCTAAATGCCATGGGAGAGGGAGTGAGGACGGAGCAGAAAAGTCCCGGGATTTAGCTGCGGGTCACCCCAGCATGAAGAGGTAGAAGAGAAGAGGAGGTCCAGCCTGAGGAGGAGGGACCTGTGAAGCAGGAGGAGGGCCAGGAGAAGGCGGCGTGCTGGAAACCAAGTGAAGATAGCGCTTCAAAGAGGAGGAAGAGGGTTTCCCTGGTGGCGCAGTGGTTGAGAGTCCGCCTGCCAATGCAGGGGACACGGGTTCATGCCCCGGTCCGTGAGGATCCCACATGCCGCGGAGCGGCTGGGCCCGTGAGCCATGGCCGCTGAGCCTGCGCATCCGGAGCCTGTGCTCCGCAGCGGGAGAGGCCGCAGCGGTGAGAGGCCCGCCTACCGAAAAAAAGAGGAGGAAGAGCTCCACTGTGTCAAATACTGCTGGGAAGGCAAGTGAAAGGGGACTGAAAACTGACCATTGGGCTTAACAAAATGAAGCCCTTGACGAGCCATTTCTGTAGAGTGTGGGGCAAAAGCCATATTGCAGTTTCAGAGAGAATGGAAGGAGAGAAATTGGAGTATAGACATCTCATTTGAGGAGTTTTGACATAAAGCAAAACAGAGAAATGGGGGAAATGCCTGGAGAAGGAGTCTCGTTTTCTTTTTTTAAGCTGGGGAGGGTAGAAGCATGTTTATATGCTTATGGGAATGGAAAAAATTGGGGATGAGGTGGCGGGCTGGGGAGGGATGCAGAATTGCTGGAGCTGATGTCTTTGAGTTGGTGAGAGGCACTCCTTAAAATCCATGTTGCAGTTTGCTCTTTGCTGAAGCTCTGGAGGCCTAACCCTCGTACCCAAACTTGGAGGAGAGTAATGTTTAAAATGGAGAGCAGATTTAGCACACTATCGTGTGACAGAAGAATGGCATTTTTCACTTGCTCTGGGCACGTCTTCTCTCCTCGCAAGGCACATCAGCTTGAAGGCAGAAGATTGCTTGGTTAGATAGGATTTTATAACTCCCCTAACTCCTACCCCGAATCTGAAATCACATTTCCTTCCAGTAAGACTTTTGCCTTGCTGATCTAGTGCTGTCTCTCTCAAAGGAGCTGACATCAGGCCTCCAGAATCAGCATACCGTAATTCTGCAACAATAAGCACTGACAAATGATTCATCGTTATCTCTCCTTTTTCAGCAAGTGGTCTGTCTCTCCTGTCTCTTTTCCTCAGACATACTGGTGATAACAGAGAGGATTAGATTACAACAGAATAGCTTTCTTCAGCTATTTCTCAATCTCTAGGATGCCCTTTGGAGATACTGTCTGATTTGTTCTTCTCAAGTCTATTTAGCGGGCTCTTGACAACTCCCTCCCTTTGGGTGGGATGCTTGGGTAACCCCTGTGCACCCGTTGAAAGTTGCTGCTTCCAGTTTCATTCTTAGAAGACAGACAGCTCTTTTTTTTTTAAAAAAAATTGAGATATAATTCACATAGCATAAACCTGGCTATTTTAAAGTGTACAATTCAATGGTTTTTCGTATATGCACAGGGTTGTGCACCCATAACCATAATCTAATTCCCAAAGATTTTCATCACTCCCAAAAAGGAAACCCCATAACCATTAGCAGCCACTCCCCAACCCCCACTTCCTTCTACCCCTTGGCAAATACCCATTTACTTTCTGTCAATAAATTTGCTTACTCTGGACGTTTCCTTTAAATGGAATCATACATGTGGCCTTTTCTGTCTGGCTTCTTTCACTTAGAATAGTGTTTTCAAGCTTTAGCTGTGTTCAGCCATGTTCATACATGATACCATGTATCAGTACTTCATTTCCTTTTATGGCTGAATAACATTCCATTGTATAGACATACTACATTTTGTTTATCTGTTCATTAGTTGTAGACTTTGGGTTGTTTCTACTTTTTGGTTATTATGAACGATGTTGCTATAAACATTCATATACAAGCTTTTGCGAGGACACGGATTTTTGCATGTGCCCAGGAGTGGGATTGCTGTGTCATATGTTAACACAATGTCTAACCTTTTGAGGAACAGCCAAACTTTTCCACAGTGTCTGTGCCATTTCACATTCCCATCAGTGTTGTACGAGGGTTTCTCTACATCCTCGCCAACACTTGTTATTGTCTGTTTTTTGACGACAGCCATCCTAGGAGGTGTGAGCTAGGAGGACGGGACCACTCAACTTCAGATTTTGGGGGCACCTCCCATTAGACCCTTTTATGTTACTGTTTACAGATGTGAAAATGGAGGCACAGACTAATTCCCTGCTCAAGGTCTTATACTGTCCAGTGATGGAATTGGTGTCTGACTTGTGGACCAGTGATTCTTTCCACCAGGCTGTTGTGATGTCTGTGGCATTCTAGTCAGGAATCTGAAATTTTTATTGGTCTGTCTAAATACAGGGAAGATCTCAGCAGGAAGGCTCTGAGGGCTAATTGTGAGGTCTGCTGGGAGTGTGAAATATTATTTATCTTTTCCCCCATCACCTTCCCAACACAGTAGACAGCCTTACTCTGTTATGTGTTCTTCAGAACCTGAAGCAGATGTCCTCTTATTTATGGATTTCTCCTAGTTTTCTACTAGACTTCAAATATTTTGAGGGCAGTGGTCATGTCTCAGTATTTATAAATCTGGACGCAATGACTGGTACATGGTGGGCCCTCAGGAAATGTTTGAGGAATTAAATTGGATAAATCACCCAGGATTATTAGAGAATGAGTTTATTATAAATCAACTCTTTGGAGAAAAACACAACAAAAAGATGAGATACAAATGGTAGGTGATAAAAAAGCCACTTTCCTTTATTACATATCACAATCTATTAAGAATAACATAGAACTAGACGCAGACGTAGAGAATGGACATGTGGACATAGTGGGGAAGGGTAAACTGGGACAAAGTGAGAGAGTGGCATGGACACATATACCCTGCCATGTGTAAATAGATAGCTAGTGGGAAGCAGCCTCATAGCACAGGGAGCTCAGCTTGGCGCTCCGTGATGATCGAGAGGGGTGGGATGCTGGTGGTGGGAGGGAGGCTCAAGAAGGAGGGGATATATGTATACATACAGCTGATTCACTTTGTTGTACAGCAGAAACTAACACAACATTGTCAAGCAATTATACTCCCCCCAAAAAAGAATAACATAGAATGAAGCTTAGTGCTTGCATGTATAAATTGATTAGCTAAGGCAAAATACATATCAAGATACTGGCTGGACTGTGGCCTATTGGTCTATGAAATTTTAGTCTACTTATAATTAATAAATGATGCAATTGTCCTGAACTATCTCTAACCTCAAATTCCAAATTTTCCAACTATCTAAAACACACATTGCATCTTTCCCACTGTATTTATAATTAGAGTTTTTGTAAAAAGTTAAACTATACAGAAGCATAGAGTAGGAAGTGAAAAATCCCTCTTTATCTCTGTCCTTATTCCAACATGGAATAGAATATCAGGCTCTAAATTCCTAAGGCCACAAATATTTTGTAGTTTCATTTGGAAGAAAGAAGAATATTCTAAATTTCCCTGAGACTGACTTCCTTTTACGGATGAACACAAAAGTGACAATCCTCAAATTCTGAATAAAACAGAGAATCACTGAACTGGGGAACTTTTTCTCCAGGGACATCTCTTGCCATGGATAGAGAACATGTGATGAATCAGTCTTCACTAGTCGTGGAAGAGTGAAGGCAGGAGGTTATTTCTTTCATTGCTAATTTTATTTCAGACAGACTGTCATTTGTACATGAGGTTAAGAGGGTTGTGAGGTGTTTCTTCAGATAGGTCAAGTTAAAACACCCTTTACTTGGTTACCTCAATTTTCTACTTTGAAGAAGAAATGTTATATTGCTCCTGCAATGGTTTTCTTTATCCAGTTGAGGTATTTTTTGGTAAGGAGAATGTAGATGCCAGGTTTCTGGGGGTTACCACACTTCCCAAAGGAAGTGACACCTCTGAAAACGTTATCACATATCAGAGGACTTCCAGAATCCCCCTGGAAAAGAAAGTCATATGTTTTAAACAAGAGTGCTTTCCAAAGATATTTACTTACCTTTTTAGTCATTCATTTATTCACTCATTCGCTCACACATTGTTTCTCTCTTTCCTTTTTAAAGGCTAATTTTATATCTCTTTTTATTAATTGTCTGCCCTCAGCATCAATTAACACAGATTTGTTTATATTTTCCGATCATTTTCATTTTGCAAAAGGCAATTCTGGAGAAGATGTACAAACTCATTTTCATCAGTAAAACAAAGAAAGAATAACAAAGGAAGCCTTTAAAATAATTGTGAAAATAATTGTCTCCTTCAGTTGACCTGTATCCCCTTTTCTTGGTCAGTAGATGTTAGCGGAAAAAACTGAATGTAGGCGCTGCCTGAAGGCATGAGATGGGATCTGAGCTACTCCCTGCTCTGAAGGAGGACATGGGTTAAGCCGTCTCAGACCAAGGAGTACTTGTGATAGTTCAATTTTTAGGGATCTTTTCCAGTTTTCATCAGCCCTCATTTCATATTCTCTCTGACCTTGCAAACCACTTCTGGATCATGAGTTCCAAATAGGGCCAAACTGTAGTCAAGCCCATGGAGAGGCAGAACAACGCAGGAGTTGGGAATCAGATGGCCCCAGTCTAAGTCCAGGTCCTCCCCACTGACAGTCGAGTTATCTAACTTGGGGAAGTAACTTTCTAAGCCTTAATTTCCCTATCTGTAAAATAGAGTTGGTAATAATAGTGTCTATCCCATGGGGCTATTTGAGGATCAAGTGGCATAGAGTATAGGACTTGATATAGTTCCTGCCATCTGATAAATGCCCGCTGATGTGATCAGTTCTGAGAGGGCTGAAAAGCATCCATAAGCGGTGGTTAAATGGGATCCTGATTATTAGGAACGAGAGAAGTTTCCCTGGGCAGAATGTTTCCCTTGAGACAAAGGAGCACACACCAGCCCAGTGTCAAGCTGACGTTCTTGCAGGCCTCACACGTAAAAAGTAATAATGACAGTCCGCCATCTTGTTCCTAGGCACTCTATTTAGCCTGATTTCCTATAGCCCCCAAACGGTTAAAATTTTTAATTTACTTACTTCACATGAATCATCTTCACCTTTTCTACCACCAGCACAGATCATACTGAGATCAATAACTGGGTTAAAATTATAGTGCTGGGCATCATTGCATATTTTCCTATCTATCACAGTAATGTTGGCTTCTCTCAAGGCACTTGAAATTTTGCACGTGTCTTTTCTGGTGCTTCCCCATCCTGCCACATGACACTTGGTGTGGGGTTTGACATCGTCTCCTGTTTTCGGTAGCCGAAGTATTCCTACAGCTTTGGTCATAGTTGCTTTACCATCCAGCTAGAAAAGAGGCAGGAGATGCAGTTTTAGGGAAGGACAACAGTAACCAAACCCAGAAAACAGCGCTGACTGAAATAGATATCTTGCTTATTTAGCATGTTCTTACGAAGGACGTGGCCGAAGTCCTGTTCCAACCTAATTGACCATCAGTTACTGATTTTTTAAAAGTCACGGCACACCTTTTCATGCATGTTTTGCTAGACTAGTCTAGATAAACTTCAGTCCAGTTGACCTGTCAGTGATGAAATTATGTTGGTGGTGGCTGACAGCTCTGTGGTTGAAAAGCTGTATTGGAGAGTGCCATCATTATTTTATTCAGGTGGTCTTAGGTTTGTGAACTGACTGGTACTGAGACCAATGGAAGGAAGCCAGGGCTCCAGGTGCAGTGGGGCGGGGTGGGAAAAGGGCCAGTGTCCTCATTTTCCACGTGGAAATGTGGCTTCCCCGCTTCTGAGCAGGTGCTAACCAGCCTAACTGCCTTTGGGGGCTCACCCACGCTCTGCCCTTTTCTTTGACTCACTAAAGCTCTCTTCTTGGCTCACCACCTTGCTTTCTCTCTTTCTGAAAAGTCAAGGCAAGGAGAGCAGGGAGTGTGATCAAGGTTGAGTAGAGGGTAGAGGAAGATAATTCTACTTCTTTCTTTTCTTCTTGCCTCAAGCTGTAGGGAGTCCTGGTGTTACAGACCTTCTAAAAACATAAGAGCACAGCAGCAAAGGCCGCTGTCACATTCCTATCATTGCATTGCTTTCAGGCTCCACTTCCTGACATTAGACAGTTCCCACTTCCTCAGTGCCCACTCTGAGTTGCTGGTGTGCCCAACCCTTACCGTGCTAGCATTTAGAAAGTGAGATGGCCGTAGTCTAAAATCTCTCCATAGAACATGACTTCAAATACCTACATGCAACGTCTCTCCTTCTCTCCTACTCATGCTTTCTCACAGCCTTCATGCTTGTTATCTGGTTGGATGGACAAGGAGACAGGAGAACCCCCAGAAAGGACTTCAGGTCTGAATGAATGGATCAGAATTGGAGTCGGGATGCATATGTTTGTAAGTAGCTCTCCTGGGGTCAGGCACACACAGCAGTGATGAGCACATCGGTAGGTTTTAACCGTGGAAGGTTGACCGCCCGGAGGTCCTGATGCCCTCTTCATGAGTTCTCTAGCAACATCACCCCACTGGCCACAGTGTCAGAGGTGAGGGGGAGTTTCCTGACTTTACTTCAAGACCAAGAACCCCTCGCACCCCCTACTCACCCCACACTATCGTAAAGGTAAGAGTTTTAGTTCCTGAAGGAGACTTGACAACTGCTACCACTTTCTTGAAACCTGAGCGCAGAATCTCTTCTCTTGATGACCTTTGCCACTGTCTGGCTTAATTCCATCCCTTATCCAAAATTATTCAGGAAATATTTATGGAGGGCCTGCTATGTACTAGGAACTATACTACCTGGTACAGGGCATACAAATAAAAAGACAAAAATATCTGTTCTTTGAAGCTTACATTCCAGCGAGGGGGGCAGACAAACAAACTAAGGTACATCAGAAGTGCGTGCTGTCCATCATCAGATGCATGGATAAAGAAGATGTGGCACATATATACGATGGAATATTACTCAGCCATAAAAAGAAACGAAATTGAGTTATTTGTAGTGAGGTGGATGGACCTAGAGTCTGTCATAGAGTGAAGTAAGTCAGAAAGAGAAAGACAAATACGGTATGCTAACACATATATATGGAATTTAAGGAAAAAATAATGTCATGAAGAACATAGGGGTAAGACGGGAATAAAGACACAGACCTACTAGAGAATGGACTTGAGGATATGGGGAGCGGGAAAGGTAAGCTGTGACAAAGTGAGAGAGTGGCATGGACATATATACACTACCAAATGTAAAACAGATAGCTAGTGGGAAGCAGCCGCATAGCACAGGGAGATCAGCTTGGTGCTTTGTGCTTTGTGACAGCCTGGAGGGGTGGGATAGGGAGGGTGGGAGGGAGACGCAAGAGGGAAGAGATGTGGGAACATATGTATATGTATAACTGATTCACTTTGTTATAAAGCAGAAACTAACACACCATTGTAAAGCAATTATACTCCAATAAAGATGTTAAAAAAAAAAAAAAAAAGAAGCGCGTGCTGTGGAGAAACACCGCAGGAGGGAAGTAGGCCAAGGAGTGCCCTCTACTGGACAGGGGAGGGAATTGCCTTTCCCTGCCCAGGGAGCGGGACTGGAGGGAATTAGAGTATGGGTGAGGAGGGTTGACCCGAGAGAGAGGCCCAGCCTGAGAGTCTCAAGGCAGATAGTATGGGGGTCACTGATAAGTACTGGGGAGCAGGGAATGTGGGGAGTTTGCCGGAAACACATGGCACTCTAGGACCCTGTCTTTACTCCTACTGATGAGGGTGTGTGGATCCCCTGAGCATCCTCTTGACTCCTGCTAGGGAAGCTCCTCATCAAGCCCCTTTGGACAAGCGTGAACCTCAGCTCACACTCTGCCTTCCAGTTCTGCCTTTTCTGTTATACTTTCTGCACAGCAGCCAGATAATCCTTCTAAAAACAAGTCTGATCATGTCACTGCCCAGCTTAAAACACTTTCCCATTTCCCCATAAAGTTCAAACTTCTTCCCATGGTTCACAATATGTGGGTCCCCGCTTTCTCAGATCTCATGCTAACTTCCCTTTCTTCCCTTCTTCCAAATGCATTTTCCAGAAAGACTCCTCTTATACACACTGCTCTTCCTGCCCAAAAGGCCCTTTCCTCCTTCTTTCCTACTAACCCCTGCACCTTCTCTAAGAAAGCTTCCCTGACCGCCTGGACACACCATGTGCTCCCGTAGAGTCCCCGTCTTAGTCATCTCCATCACCGATGAGTCACATACCACCAGATCAGAGCTGTTGATATATGTGTCTGTCTCTCCCACTAGACTGTGAACACTTTGAGAACAGAACCTATTTATCTTATGAGGAAGAGAAAAGCTTACTGGCACTCACAGCTGGGCCACAATTTTTCCTGTTGATCATGAACACTTGTCATAGAGCACCAATATCAGACAGGGTGAGCCTCAAGAAGGGAGCAAAACCCAGGCCACTCTGCAGTCAGGTTTGAGTACAGGCAAAAGCAAGGTCATTGTGCCCACCACAAAAATGACCAAGCGCCCCCTATAGGCTAAAACGAGTGATTGCTGCTTCTTATCAATCACAGATTTAGCCTCCTAGATAAGTAAGATTCACTGAGATACTCAGTCATAGAATTACCCCACTTCCTGACAACAGTCAGTTCAGAGCAAACTCCTACTTCCTAGAACCCTCCCCCTCATCCGACAAATCCTAGGATAAGCCCCATCTAACACTCTCTTACTGAGCCACCCTATGGTTCCTCATGGTGTACAGTCTCCCTTGCTGAGCAAGAATCAATAAATGCAATGTGGTTTGTCTGCAGTTGAGTTGCTGGTGGCATTACCACTTTGGATTGACAGGTCTTACCACAGTAGGACTTCTGTCAATATCTGTTAAATTGAACTGAATTCCAAGAGGGTGAACATCTGTACAATTGCGCTGGGTCCCATCTGTACTTCTTACCCTTACATCCTGGCATTAGCCAACCACTGGCTATGAGGCCAGTGTGTAAAAACTAGTTTCAAGTTAAACTGATCAAATTTCAAAATTTTGCAATTTCAAAATAGTTATTGAAAAAAAACGCCATATTTACCTGAAGGAGTTGAAGATCCCCTTCAAATGTCTGTGGATTGAAGCATGGATGGGGAATTGCCTTTTTAATGGAAAATACTTGGTCATATTTCTCTTTATGGGAGGTAGAGTGGGCCCCAAGAATAACTCGAGGATTGCCTTTCCTGGAAAAAAACAAGGACGATGTATCATTTATGTGAGAGAATAGATGAAATTAAGCATGAACTTAATTTATTAAATCTGACCAGTTATTTCAGATGGTTTCCTATTTATAAACAAGCACAGCAAGGCAGGGGGGAATTTATGAGGTTTTTTTCTTTTGGTGTTTTAGTTACTTTTTATTTGTTTATTTATTTATTTTGCGGTACGCGGGCCTCTCACTGTTGTGGCCTCTCCCGTTGCGGAGCACAAGCTCCGGACGCGCGGGCTCAGCGGCCATGGCTCACGGGCCCAGCCGCTCCGCGGCATGTGGGATCTTCCTGGACCAAGGCACGAACCCGTGTCCCCTGCATCGGCAGGCGGACTCTCAATCACTGCGCCACCAGGGAAGCCCTGTTTTAGTTATTTTTACCTAAAACTCCCAAGACGTGTTATCTTAGGTGCTTCAGCTTCACATCTTTTCAAGGAAGAAGCAACAGGAGAGAAATCCCAGGTCTTCCGGCAGAGGCAAGAGCGTTGGTTGGCAAGGCCTGGAGAGGTATGCTTGGGTGCTGACCAAAGAGGACTGCTGCAGGAAGAGGAGCTGCCAGTGTCTCCATCTGCCTTGGATTTGTGGAATCAACACCTAATGGAAGAGACTCAACCCAAGACCTAGAGACTAAACCTAAGAGTGAGAGCAGAGGTAGTGGGTTTGCTTTTCTGTGTTTCAGGGAGACCGTGTACCTTGCTTAAGTCTTCAAAGATGACAAAGATGGGGCTTCCCTGGTGGCGCAGTGGTTGAGAGTACACCTGCTGATGCAGGGGGCACGGGCTCGTGCCCCGGTCCGGGAAGATCCCACATGCCGCGGAGCGGCTGGGCCCGTGAGCCATGGCTGCTGAGCCTGCGCGTCCGGACCCTGTGCTCCGCAACGGGAGAGGCCACAACAGTGAGAGGCCCGCGTACCAGAAAAAAAAAAAAAAAAAGATGACAAAGATGGAATAGAGTCAGGCTTTTAATAGGTAAGACTGAAGAAATGAATCAACTTTATAGTGAAATTTTAAAGCTGAATCTAAACACACACACACACAGGAGCGAATAAACCGCTAGCCGCCAAGTCTAGTTTGTGAACCTAATGATAGCTAATCTGGGAGAGGTGGGTGCAAGCATTTCTTGATTTGCCGGACAGACTTTGCACCAAGTGGGTCTGTTAATCAAAAGTGCCAGTGGTGATCTTCACAGTGTACATTGTGCTGAATTTCCTACTTGATAAATTCTCATTTGATACAACAACGTAATGCAGATCTCTTTTGATCTTCTTTGTGGGAAGCTAGTTTTTAAGTCTCTTCTTTTATTCATGTAATTTATGCAAAAGTGAGCAGGGAAATAGTAGGTACCAACAACAGGTACTGTTAAAGAAAACAGCAGCATATCCTTGTGATAAACGTTATTTTGACTTTCAAATCACAATTAGGAAAAACATTAGTTTGAACCATAGGAAATGGCTATTTTGTAAAGTCAAACAGTTAAATATCAGTAATTTCTTACGGTTCAATCTAATATGTAGCAACATGGGACAAAACTAATTATATAATATTAAGTAAATCGCTTGTAATCATAGAGAACACTTAACTTGCTCAACTGTGTAAAATATACTTATGGAAAAAGCCTGCAACAAAATATAGCAAAACATTAACAGTGATTGTGTGAAGTTGATAAGATTATGAGTGCTATTTCTCACCATTTTTTTTCAAAATGTTGATAATATTGGTATTTATAGCGAAAAATATTTTTAAATAATATGAGAAAATGGTCATGTATTTCAATTTTATTCTATAGGATCTGGCCTTTGCTTATAGAGATAAACTTAATAATAGTACATATCAGTGAATGTGCTTGTGTACTTTCTTCTCCATCCCTACCTAATTTTGGTTTTGGACTTCATTTTCACAGCCCCTGTCCCCCCCACCCCACCCCGCAAACTGCCTGAGAATGAGAGGAGCTCAGAATTACTTACAGGTCACAGTGAGCAGCTGTTAACACCCAGTTTTCTTTGATCAAAGCCCCTGCACAGACTTTCAGCCCTTTGATTAGAGCCATGTAGCGTCTTGTGTGAGGTGGTACTTCTTTTCCTCTTATAATTCCCTCACAGGATACTGGAAAAACTAAAAGAGTGATCCAGAGTGAAATCCTATCTTACCAAGTCATGCTTCCCTCTGAAAAGTTCTGATATAACGAATAGATCGAGATCGAGTACATAGATGTGCACTCTGCGTCAGGGAGAGAAGATCGAAGCAGTCCAGGTGGCACAGAGTTTTTAAAATTTTCCATGACAGCTCTGTATAATAGCATCTTGAACTTAAACAATCTTCTCTTCCTCAAGAATGCAAAACACCTTTAACATAATGTCTGTCTCCTTCCTATCCCTAGGAGGTAGAAAATGTCAGGCAATAGAGTCTCTTTTCTTAAAGCTCAAAAAGCAAAAAGATTAAAGACTTAACATCACACAGTAAAAGCAGATTGGGGAGAAACCCCATTCTCCTGTTTCTGCCTTTACTAGTCTGTTCACTTCCTATTACAGGCTGCATTTTCTCAGTCTTGGGTGGGACACTGTGTTATTGACCTTAAAAATCTCACAGTGTTCCATGGTGAGATTATTATTTGGAATGATGGTTTGGTAAGTTATATTAAATTCAAAGAAAAAAATCAACAACTATAGTAGCAATAATAATGAAAGCATCTATGATTTACCAGGCACCGGTTAGTTTCAGACACTGGTTCTGATGTTTGCTACAATGCAAGGTGGGTGTTATTATTCCCATGTAGAGATAAGGAACATGAAGTTTAGACAGGGCAATTACCTCACCCAAGTTTGCACAACTAATAAATAGCAAAGCAGTCTTCTAATACAGTTCCGCATCATGAAAAATCATATCCTTTCCATTGTGATGTACTGTTTGCCTAAAGTAGTGGCTCTGTACCTTTGTTAGTTTTGAAATATAGAGCCATTTGAGAATCTGATATAGTACAGACACACAGATGCATGTAAATATTTGCATACAGTTTTGGGAGAGTCACAGACTTCTTGATGCCCATCCATGGCCTTGAAGGAGCTCATGGATCCCACATTAAGAATCCCAGCTCTGAAGGTATCATTGAGCTATAAGATATCATAGTGTGTGGTTAAGAACCTGAACTCTGGGTTCAAATCCCAGCCCTACTACTTACTAGTTGATGACTTTAGTAAGTGGACTTAACCTCTCTGTGCCTTGGTTTCCTCATATATGAAATGGGCTGATAACAATGATACTTGAGAAGAGTATAAGTAAACCACATAGAATACTGCTATACTTCATTGTAAGTTTTATGCAGTGTTGGTGCGCGCGCGCGCGCACACACACACACACACACACACACACACACACACACACACTTCATTAGAGTATTTTACATTGATGTTATTGCTTTCTTCACCACCCCCACTGCTGGAAATAGGCACTCACAAATACCTTCTGAAAACCAAAGTTTTAAGATTTATCTGAGAGCTATGACTACTCAGTTGTATCTGTATGACTGAGCCCTCCAGTTAATAAGTAATCTATCCATCCCCAATTTAATGGCTTTGTTGGTTTTTCACTTGAAGGTTGAGCTCTGTAGATCTGGCCTGAATTTATGATAACCTCCAGATATAGTTAATGCTTTCATATTTTTGCTGTAGACACAATAGAGTATGTTTTCATCTTAAAAAGCCAATATACCATTTAGATAGCAAAGAAAAAACGTAACATGAAAAATTATTGGAAATTAAGTTGTGATTTCTTTTTCCCTTTTACACAATATTAAACAAAAATTAAAGCAATATAAAAGTCTATTTTCTTATAAGCAAAACTAAAAAGCATATGGAAATATGTCTTACCTCCAGGAATTAGAAGGAGACACATGCCAGTGGGAAAAGAGAAAAGGAAAGGAATTTTCATGGCTTCTGTTACTCACATATGGAGACTATTTAGTTTCAGGTACTGACTTAGTCATATATAATGAAACACAAAGGATGTGGGTTCTTTCTTTTTATCTTTCTCTGCTATGTGGCTAAAGAGTTTGGTATTTTATTACTGGAAAACATAGCTTTATTTTAGAGATGGTGTGGTTACTTATTTGTTTCACATTTCCTTCAGGGTTAGACCTTTCCTACCTTAAAGGGTAAATGTGAAGCCATGGGGACTGTTTCATTTTTATTTACTATTATTATTTTTAATACATCTTTATTGGAGCATAATTGCCTCACAATAATGTGTTAGTTTCTGTTGCACAACGAAGCAGATCAGCCATGGGGACTATTTTAAATTAAGAACATTAAATAGAAAATTGCTCTTCTTTGGCAACTTTTTCACTTTCAAATATGAGTTTATCTTAAAAATCTGAGAATTCAAGTCTGTATAAGAAATTATTTTGAAATAGCATCTTTAAACCTATTCTAGTGGCGGAAAGGACAGATATTTGATGCATTCATTGTTGAGATTGCTGGGTAATCATCAAGGGAAAACTGAAGTTAGATTCTTAAAGCACACCATTCAACTATAAAAGCACTAACTGAAGATACAGATATTCACACACATGTAGAAATGAGAAAGGGACTTTGAGATATGACATCAAAGGCAGAATTTGTAAGAGATTGATAGATTCAATGATGTAAAATTGAAGTTTCTGTACCTTAACACAGCAAACACAAAGCCAAATTGCAAACATTTTCAATCTATGTGACACAAATGGATATTTTTATAAAGCAATAAGAAAATATGAACACCTGAAAAGAAAAATGGTCAGAGAATTTGAACAAGTAATTTACAAAAGAAGAAATAAAAATGGCTCCTATCTTCCTAACCTATGGAGGAATGCATAATCACATAGCACAAGTTATCTGTAATAAAAATGCAATTTAAAACATTTAGGTACTATTTTTGCCTGTCAAATTACTAAAAATTAAAAAACACACAAAAAATACTCTCTGTTGTTGGAAATTCTCATGTGTTGATGGTATTTCAAACTGCTGCTATCTTTTTGGAAGGCAATACATATGAAAGGGTTGTTAAATTTTGCATGATCTTTGACCCAACAAGTCATGTTTATGATTCATAATTTAAAAAATTGTGAAATTTAGCAATAAGGAGTTCCATTGCATTATTGTTCCTAATGAGAAAAAGTTGAAAATAATCTAAATGCCCCCAAGTAAGGAATTAGGTAAGCCTATTAGTTTCCCATTGCTGCTGTAACAAATTACTGCAAACTTAGTGGCTTAGAACAACACAAATTTATTATTTTACAGTTCTGTAGGTCAGAAGTCTGATGTGGGTCTCCCTGGGCTAAAACCAAGGTATTAGCAGGGCTGCATTCATTTCTGCAGGTTCTAAGGGAAAATCCATTTCCTTGCCTTTTCCAGCTTCTAAAGGCTGCCAGCATTCCTTGGCTTTTGGCCCCCTTCCAGCTTCAAAGGCATCAATGGCTGGTGGAGTCTTTCTCATTCTGACACTGACTTTCCTTCTGCCTGCTACTTCCACATTTAAGGACTCCTGTGATTACATTGGGCTCACTCTGATAATCTCCCTATTTTAATGTGAGCTGATTAGCAACCTTAGTTTCATCTACAACCTCATTTCCTCTTTGCCAAGTAAACTAAGATTCATAGACTCTAGAGATTAAGATGTGGGCAGCTTTGGGTGGGTGGGAACATTATTCTGCATATCATAATAAGTAAATTATAATTCATTAGTACAACCATTCTGTGCAACCACTAAATAGCATGGAAAGTGATCACAAAAATGTTGCTGTATCAGACACCTCTTGTGTGTCACCACAGATCCCCTTGGCCTCATGTAATCCATGGACCTTGGGACTTCCCTGGTGGTCCAGTGGCCAAGACTCCATGCTCCCAATGCAGGGGGCCCAGGTTTGATCCCTGGTCAGGGAACTAGATCCCTCATGCATGCTGCAACTAAAGATCCTGCATGCCGCAACTGAAGATCCTGCGTGACGCAACTAAGACCTGGTGCAGCCAAATAAATAGATAAATAAATAAATATTTAAAAAAATCCATGGACCTTGGCCACTTGTTCTTCTCCACCTACTCTGTGGAGACCAATTCTGCATGGCCTTGTACCATATTGGGCACCACCTGACAGCACCTTGCCTCATGCCTGCATGATACAGCTTTTGCCTCCACCACTGGACTCCACTGCTGCTGCTGAGATCTAGGGTATGATGTAGAAATGTAGGGGAATTCAAGCCTTTTAGGGAAATCTATTGATTAGTAGGAGATGGAATCTAGTTGATAAATAAGCTATTCTTTGAAGCACTAATTCTTAGAGTTCTTGGAAGATAGTCTGAGCAATAAGTTGTGCCTGATGCCAAGAGGTTTCCTGTTCAGCCATGCACCTTTGTATTGTGCTTCTCCTCAACACTCCTCTTTTCTCCCTTCACACCACCTGCTACCCCCTTCTCAAGTATTTTGATCTCTAAGACAGTGGTAGAACATAACTTCTCCCCTCCGGGAGCTCACGCTGACAGTTGGGAGTGGCACTAGGAGTTGGGAGTGACCTTGTAAATTAGACCCACAAAGTAGGATTTGGAGTTGAATGACTCACTGAACTGAAACACTGGGGACTCCATTGGTGGTGGCAAGTGGTGAGAGTGGAGGGGCAGTGGGCTTTTTTGCTTCTCCTACCCTGTGATGTGGGATCTGGGTAGCCCTGTCCCCTGCCTTCCAGTGAAGAAGGACACGTGTGGGAACGGGATTTCCCTGAAGTAGGGCAGGTGGCAAAGTGGTAATTGTAACTTTTTTGATTTTCTGAGCTTTGGACTTAGAGTGAGCTTTGAGTGAACTCTTAGAGTGAGAAGAGACCTTCATGAGGTTCCCACCAAATCTTTCTGGTTATAGTTCGGTCATTTAGATGTGGTCCAGGGTCAGAGGTTTCTATGTGGTGAGTTTTCTAGGTAATGAAGCAACAAACTATTTTCCTCCCCCATTCCGCAACCCCCAGCTTTGCATCTCATGTCACCCCACTAGATCACTCACCACCTCACTGTTGCTGCATCTACTGCAACCACTGGGACAGTCCCCTTCGTTTCATTTTTTTTAAACCACTTTATTGAGATATAATTTATATATCATGCAATTCACCCATTTAAAATGTACAATTCAATGGTTCTTGATATGTAGCTATTAATTCTTAAAATTGTGGTTTTTTATATATATATATATATATATCATAAAATTTGCCATTTAACCATTTAAAATATACAATTCAGTGGCATTAATTATATTCACAATGTTGTGCACCTATTACCACTGTCTATTTTCAAAACTTTTTAGCCATCTTAAACAGAAACTTTGTAATCATTAAGCAATAACTCCCCATCTCCCTTTCCTTCCAGCCTCCAGCAGCTTCTAATCTACCCTCTGTCTCTATGAAATTGCCTATTCTCAATACTTCATGTAAGTGAAGTCTTATAATATTTGTCCTTTTGCTTGTGTTATTTCAATTAGCATAATGTCTTCAAGGTTATTTCAGTTGTAGCAAGGATCAGAATTTCATTCCTTGCTATGGCTGAAAAATATTTCATTGTACTTATATGCCACATTTTGTTTATCCATTCATTGGCTGATTGACTTTTGGGTTGTCTCCACCTTTTGGCTATTGTGCATAATGCTGCAATGAACATTGGTGTAAAAATATCTGTTTGAATCCCTGCTTTTTGGTTATATACCTGGGAGTAGAACTGCTCAGTCATATGATAATCTATGTTAAGCTTTTTGAGGAATCCCTTTATTTGACAACTTTAGATCCTAGCTTCCTGTTACTTTCTCTACTCCTACTTATGTCTTAATTCTTGGGACTTTCAGTATACAAGTAGTTGATCCTTGCAGCACTCTAGCTGCAGACTTCTGGTTTCTGTTTAGGATGTAGAAAGTTGGAAAGAGTGCTAATTCCACATTTATAACAAAGAAAAATCTGGATAATCTACAAAATCATAATTTTTCTTTAACTTCTCAGACTTGAGGCTGCAGGTCAAACAAGTAGGCTGAAATCTAAGGGAAGACAGGTACCTCCAGGGAGGACCTGCTTACCCAGAGAAAGGCATGATCGGAAGAGGTGCTGGACATCATAGAAGCTGATCGGAAGAGTTCAGGTAAGTTTTAAAATGAATTCCTAAGGGCTGAGTGTGGCTTAGCATAAAAATATAGCACCCCTGGGAGCTACAGACATAAGGAGAATTGACACTAGCTGGCAGGCTTTTCTCCATGGACCTCACCAGAGAAAGCTGGGGGCAAGGCAGTGACTGGAACGAGCCTCCCCTTTGGTGCAGGGGACAAGAGCAGCCACCTCTGCAGGCAGGGCACAAAGCTCTGCCAGGATGCTTTACCCCTACCTTCTTCACAGAGCAAAAGCCCTAAGTTTCTGAGGAAAGGGCAGCAAATACTCTCACCCTCAGGGTCGAGGTGAAGACACATTGTAGCTAGAAGAAGGGAAGAGAAAAAACCAACCCTCTGTTTCTGAGGGAGAGGCAGGAAAAGAGCCTCTGCCACTAGGGCAGAGATAGGATCACTGAGATGGTCACACACCTGAGACTAAGGCACACAATGCCTGCCTAGGACTGGGCCTGAATATGGACAACAGAAAATGTCTCCCCACTTCCCACTCCAAGGACAGCAAGAACTGAGTAACAAATAACAATAGTCTACTACTAGGTGGAGGCAAAAATGAGGGGAGAAAATATCTTTGAGGTTTAGGGACATAGGCAAAGCCTAAGGCTGAAGTGGAACAGAACATTGAGAAATGCTCTCTGGAAACCGAAACCCAGCCAGAAGTATGAGGTAACGCCAGAGGCATTTCTAGCCTGAGGTGTCCTGAGGGTACCTGTAGCAACAATAAATGCAAACCCAGATCAACTCCTCACTAGACTGACTCAATTCCTCACAGTAGAGGCCTAGAAAAAGAAGAGTTATTCACATATCCAGA